AAAAAAAAAAAAAACACAATCAATTGAGATCACATGAAATGACTTTTTCATCTTTTTTATCTTCAGCTTCACAAATCTGAAAAATAAAATATCAAATATAAAGTCAGTTTTCTGAAACAGTGTGACAATTTTATTTCTTTTTTCCCCCTCCTGATTCCAAGTATTTTCAGTCCACTCCAGCAATTCCAACAATTTAATTCAGATATTTTGTGCAAAGTCTCCCCCACCTAAGTTGACAGTTTTTAAGGGTGGGTTATAAAATAAGGCGTTATTAAAAGTGTCAGGCAAAGTCTCAAAAATACAATCCTTACAGCACAGCAGCTGACTTAAAGCTACATTTCTCAATCCATGTTCAAGTGAGACCGCAGTTAGCTTAAGATTTACTTTTATCCCTTTGAAAAAAAAAAACACTTCCTAATACTGTCACAGTGACCACAAACAACATCCCAAACATGGCACCTTTAATAAGCCCAAATAAAACTAAACTCTCCTTATACTCACTGTTAAATAAATTAAAAATATTGAAGAACTTCGCTGCAGTAGCTCTACATTTAGACGTACGATATATTAAAATTTCCATTTGAAGCAGGAACAAATGGTAAAAGGCAAAGAAAATGTGCTTTTGTGTGATCGTCTGAGTGCAGGGCTGTTTACAAGCTGATGTGTGAGCGAGACCAGAACAGTGTCCTCAGGTCCCAGCGACTAGAAAACCTGAGAACAGAGAGCCTCCATATGTGTAAAAAAAATCTAATGATGTTTAAAATAATCAGTGTTGCACACGGGTTACCGTTTTGTTTACATAAATACAGCCCTGAACTGCCATGGAGCGCGAGGAACAAGAACTAAACGGGAGGTAGACTGACTTAACGTGAGGAKAAGCGGGAATCTGAACACTGGGAGCTCCAGGTCCCTGGGATCTCTTAGCAGAGAGGAGTCGATGTGGTGGGCGGGGCTGACTAAGCTGCATCATGCAGGTCTGAGTGTGTGAAGCGGACAGAAGTTGGTTTAAGGCCAGATGACGGGCTGCGGTCGCCGGGATCACGTCTGATGCACCTCGTGAAACATCAGCTCTCGTGGAATTCGAGTCTCTGGGCCGTACAGCTTGGAGGCTCGCCGCTCGAACGCGGCGACGTTCTGCTTTACGACTTCGTCGAAGAACATGGTGGCTAGCTGGGAGTGGAGCAAGGAGCGGAACTCAAAGGATATCTGTAGGAAACATAAACAGTGTTTTTCCTTTTAGGAGGGGCTGAAGAAAGAGGACATAAAATATGACATCAGAAAAATAATACTACAGAACAAGACAGTGAAGAAGACATTTGCCAAAAGGTAAACCAGAGAATTTAAAGAATGATTTTAGTTTATTTTGAAGTCCCAATCTTCTGACAGTCAGCTGCGAAGCAATGATCTAATAAACCCTGGGAGATTTCTAATTTCTAAGAGTCGTAAATATGAACAAAGAAATCAATATATCACATGTGAGAATCACCCARGTGGAGCAGCAGGCAGCTATTTAAGCGCCTGAGGAGCAGCTGGGGTTTGGATGTCTTGCTCAAAGACATCACGACATGTGGGCATGGTGGGGAGTTGAACCTGTGACCACGATTAGTTGTAACTTTAAACTTTATTTGATAAACATTTATTTTAACGGTAAAATAAAGACTGTAAAAATACTGTAGAGTGTTTAGTTT